CATCCAGATGTCGTCTAACAGATTGATTATTCGCCATTTCTCGCTGAGGCAGCAACTCGGTGTGATTTTAACTGCTATACGGCGTGCAATCTCTTTGCCAGAAATACTGATCTTACACCGACAACATGCTTTATACTACTCAGACACTCCCCCATTATGTCTACCTGCATATCTGTGCATGTGCTACCGTAAATCACCTTACTTAATCTCCTGATTGGTCTTTCTGTCCGCTCTGCCTCTTCGTTCAGCTGATATGCTAATTTTTCGACTTCGTCCTTAATTTTTGCACACCAGTGTATAAGCACCGTATGAACTTTGCATTTCTTCTCGAACTCTTCTTTGAGTGGATAAAAAGAGGTTCAACTGCTATATCTCTAGGATTTAGTTTTCTAATAAAATGTGATGAAAATTACGACGTCATATTTGACGTTAAACTTTAAGCAAGATAAATATAAAAACGATTTTCCGATAACAATATGCGTGCGAAAATATTAATATCGGGTGTGATATATTCGCTTTACGATGGATACATTTTTATAGTACATGGTGTCTATAATTAAAGAACTCTATTTCAAAGCTGCCCACAAGGCCAAATCGGTTATCAGAAAATTGTGAAATTTTGCGCCGGACTTAATGAAGGAATGAGAATGTCTTTCAGAGAAAAGTAAATCGGTCACATATAGCGTCACCAGAGGGCATTTTACTTTGAAAAACCTGTAGTAAAAATGTAAATCTTCTTCGTAGTCACGCAGAAGCTGTTATAAAACTTAGAAACATTCTCGGAGACTTTGTTTTCAATATGCTCGTTGCTCGGAACAACGGTAAATTTAGGAGATCTCGCTTTGTTAGTAAAATTCTTTTACCAAAGCAGAGGGCACTTTCGTAATGTGTGGCCTGCCCAATCCCCAGACCTTAATCCATGCGATTTTTGGAACAAATGTGATAAGTCATGACAATGCAAAAATTTTAGCTGATTACAAAGATAGCATTTCAAGCAACGTGTTCAACATTTTCCAGTACACACTTCGATCAACTCCGGAGCACGCCGTCTTGAGATCTCAGATGGTAGCTGAAAATTATTGTCATCATGTGAAACAAGTTTTCATTTGTAACAAAATTTGTAAGACTTTGAAACTATTGTAAAGGTGTGGTTAAATGTATAATTTATTTGTAGGGTTTATATTTATTTTAACTAACATTTATTTTAAGTTTAAACTATCTTTCCTGTCAATCCTTACTTTCCCCTGGAACTGCCAATGCCAGAATATGTAAATTTGAGTAGAACGCGCAAGCATTCAAATTATCAGCGGAAGTAGTATGATTTAAATAGAAGGAAACAAGTTCGGTGAGAGAGAGTTATTCTTACTTAGCGAGCGCGGAGGTAGTTATAGAGAGATTTGAAAAACCCCGCGTTGCGGCCTATGTGCTTGGCGGGAAGTAGTTGCAATTGTTCCAGTGAGCTTCAAGTCTGCTGAATTAGCAGCCGTATTGTAAAACGCGGTGAGTTAGTTATTTGAGAGAGCCTCGTAGTTAGAATATTGTCTTTAATTTCTTTTCAGGTTTTTATTTTTATTTTGACTGCCGAGTTGGCACCGTTTGTAAGCGTCAAGAGAACGCAATTGTAAATTAGTACGTTGAATAAAAAGGGACTTAAACCCTTTATAAGACTCTGTGGTTTATACAAGCTTTCACAGTCACCTCTTGGTTGCGTGCTAGTTAGAGGCGCGCAACGTTATATATTAATATGATGCGGTTTGGTGACGCTATTTGTAGCTAATTGTTTTCTTCGCCGAAAGACATTCTCGTTCCTTCATTAAACACCCGCCACAAAATTTCACAATTTTCTGATCAGTGGTTGCGCTTGCAGGCAGCTTTGAAAAAAGCTTAATATCTTTAATTATAGACATCCTGTATATAAACTGCCGGTTTTGATTTGGCCCGTAGTCATCTCGAACCTTTTGCGTAACAGCTATGCCTCACATGTTGAAACGTTGTACGTATAAGTGAAACGCTACACTACCCGATATAAGTACTTTCTCAAGCAAATTACTACGCATAAATTAACAGTTTATTATTTCGGTTTAATCAGCTTTGAATTGTCATAATATTTAACGTTTATTTTCCTTGTACTGGATGTCACATAGCTTCTTTTCACGGATTTCTCTAAAACCATGAGTCACAGAAATTGCCATTTTTTAATTGTTGTCAGAGAGGAATATCATTATGTAAAGATTATATATTATCTTCTGCTTCTATAGTATTTAATTCTCGTCTTTATTGGAAAATATATTTTTTTAAATTTAACAGAAATGCCTTGAATTCGGATTTAATCTTCAACGCTGTTAGATTTTCTAGATCTTGACAATTAGAGCTTTCATTAGTTAAAACTCATATAAAGCGCAATCAATCTAGACTACTACTACTAATATTGTATATTAAGTAAATAAGTAAAAACTGAACGAGTAGACAGTAGAACGAGTCAGGCATTTGCTTAATAAAATGTGGCGTAAAATTAAAATCTAAGTTAAATATTAGCGTAAAAAGCCATGAAAAAAAATTAGGTGGCGTAATTCTTTGTTTTATCTTAAATATTAAAATCTGTCTGCACGGCTATGGAGACATACGCCTTTGAAAAGATAAAAAATAGGAAAAGTTAAGAGTAGATTAACAGACACACACTTAAAAGCCTCTGCCAAACTGGCATGGACTATAAGCGAAGTGTGATAAATATCTGGCACCTTCCATACTTAACCTGAAAGCTGCAAAAACTGGCATAAATGTATATAGATAATTCTTAAATTTGAATCGATTATGAAGCAAACATTAGATTTATCACAAAATTACCTCAGCTTTTGAGAAAATGATAGCGAAATTTAAATGCAATTTTAAATTTACCCATTTAATTTACTAAATACCTTTCATTAGAAACAACTTACGTATTTCAAATTAACCTTGGATAACACATTTTTCGTTGATTTTTTCCTTATAATCCTAATTTCTGACCTAGAATGTCTGATTTTGAATATTTACAAGACACAACGTAAGTCTGCCTACTGCAACGATCTGCAAAGCCATCGCTGGAGCTTGTGCAACCAATGTGGTCGCAGCGGGTGGCTGAGTTTAAGAGCGTCAACATTTTAGAATTTAGGAAGGTGCAAGGCAGCAGAATTTGGATTGGTTTACTTGAATATTGTAAAGCAATCGAGGACTATCTACGTAAGAGAAAGGGTGCCTTCGTGGAGGACTTTCTATAGGAAAATAATTCGCATACCATGTTACACATGGGGAAAAACACAAAAATGCCCATGCAGCCAGCAGCTTCGCCTGGAATCAAACCCGGGCTGATTAGGTTATTTAATTACGGCAAAGCCTCGAGGGCTATATGCCTAAGGGGAGGAATGCCTATGTGGAGGACTTTCTAAGGAAAACTGGTTCGTATACACGTTACACATGGAGAAAACCACGAAAACACCCATGCAGCCAGCACATTCGCGGGATTCGAACCTCGGACCGAACTACCAGCGTTCAGCGACTTTACCGCTTGGTCGCTGGTGGGCCCAAACCCGGAATGAACTATAATAACGTTCAGCAATATTACCGATCGGCCGCTGGTAGGCAGCAGAATTTGGATGGTTTGGTTTATTTAATTTATGCAAAGCACTCGAGGGCTATCTGCTTAAGAAAAACGGTAGTCTTTGTGAAGGACTTTCTAAGGGAAATTTGCTCGCATACACGTTATACATAGAGAAATGCATTAAAATGTCCCTGCAGCCAGCCCATTCGCCAGAATTGGAACAGCGGACCGAACTACCAGTGTTAAGCGACTTCATACTGGTCGCGAGGCGCAAAATCTGGAATTTGCAGAAATTCCAGCGAGCGGCAAAAATTCTAGCAAAGCTCTGATTTTTTTACATAATTTTCTTGCTTATGTTACAGGGCTTTAGATAATTTCTCAATAAATGAAATATGCAATGCATTGACTCCGATTAATGCCTTTAACACTTTCCGGCACGCTACCTTTTAAAGTCGGAGTTTTGATTAAAAAAAAAGTAGGCAGTCTAATTATAATAAGAGAAGTACACAAGTAAATTTTTGTGAAGATAGCACTTATCTTTTTAATTCTGTAGGTGTGCCCAAACTGGCACACTGATTGAATAGAGCTTCGAAAAGAGTGCTGAAACGAGTATTGTTGTCAATGAACTGACCGATGAGATTCGGAGAAACAAAAGACTCTCAGGTGTCTGGGCACACCTAGGGCTTGCCGTTTGATTTTAGGCAAGATTTCAAAGTAAAAATTTAAAACTAATATAGAATAAGAAGATTAGCATACAGCCAAAAAATAACATAGAAATTTCTTTTAAAACAATTCCTTTTATACCTTAAAAAAATCTGGAAGATTTCTTTTGAAAAATGAGGTTCTTAAAAAACTAAACATGGCTAAAATGTATGGACTGGTTTGTGTTGAGCTGCCATCTACTATAAATAAAGAAGGTTCAGAGTAACCTTTAGTAACCTATAAATCCTTTTTCATTCAATTTTTCTGTGCGTACAGAAGGAAATTTTTAGGTGTGTTCAGACCGAACACACTGTGCCGCAAAAGGTTAACTCAGTGATGATACAAATTCAGAAAACATTCCACGTTCTTCTTCAGGCCCATCATTATCAGAGAAGCATGAAATCGTTAAGAGCTAAGTGATTCTTCTACCATGTTGCATTTTCTTTTTACAAGCAATTATAAGACAGTTTCCTGTCCGTCTACCACATTTGTCTACAAATCACTAGAATGCCCACAGGCCAAATTATTTGAAGTAAATTAGATTTTCCATCGGAAATCTGAACCCAATAAACAATATGATAGAGGTAGACCTTTTACATCATTTTCAAAAAAGCTGACAACGTATAACGTAAGTCATTAATAATTACGGTATTAAAGCTATTACTAGGTTGCATTCAACATTACTATTTCTTTTATTTTTTGGTTTAAATAAAATGCCACTTACCTGCGTACGACTGATTTTTATATGCAGTCTTCTCCAGCTCTTTGCAATTCAAAAAAATACCTCTCCTGCTGCTGGAGGTATCTAAAATAAAAAAAACGTTGATAAGTCATCTTGTTAAAAATTATAATTTTCAGTAGTTCAGCTGAGAAAAAAGTCGGTTTTAGTTACCAGAAGATAATCCTCTGTTGACCGCATGCAAAGTAGGTTAATTCGCGCGATAGATCGTTGGAGAAAATAACTTCATTATTTTTCGGAATTTGACATGTGAATGGAGCGTACGGCAATCATAATGCTGTTGCAAAAGCTTCGGTCGTAAAGAAGCTCCAACTTATCTCTTCTTAAGCACTGTAAGACGATAAATGGGAAAAGAAAACAGATCGTGATTCCATTGTATTTGTGCTCAATTTACACAGCTAGAACTCGGCATGATGCTGAGAAAAGAGATTTTATGTGAAAGAATACATCAGTACCGCTAAAGAATTGCGCTTTAAACCTTTCAATGTATATTTTTTCATTAATTTTCTGCATTTAAAACTACATATACTCTACTTTAAAGGAAAAGGCTTGAAATGTAACGCAATGTCAATCCTTCACAAATGTAGAAACTGAATTCCAAAACATAGTTAACAATCGGCTACACAGCATATTTTACAGTAACGTTCTTTGAAGTTAAAAAAAATTATATCACCGAGTTGAAAGTTATAGCTATGAGAAGCAGGCTATAAAAATTATGTAATGAACAATGTTACAATGTTAATTAAAGTGCCCTCGCTGCGTTCCTGTAATACATATACATACATTATATGAATACACCTCATTACAGACTCGCCAATAGCCGAGTGAATAAAACTATGAAACATTAATAATATCTTGTCTGATTCTATTCTCAGAAGAATAGCAAAATGAAAGCCTTTTTTCTTATGTTTCCAAAACTGCTTGAATTTTGTTCCTGTGTTGATTTAAACCGAAGTTATGATACTTTATTTGACACCTTGTCCTCGAAAAGCATACCAGAAGTGCACAAGATGTAAATATTTAAAAGGCCGAAGTGGGTGTGTCCGAGTTGTTTGCTTTTATTTTCGGGGCTTAAAACTTTATGTAATTGCATTTTAAAGACCAAAAAGTATTTTTATGATAGCAACAAAACAAAGTTCTAGCATATTTTCAAGCTAAGTGTTATGACTTCACTAACGCATTTTCGCTCTTGTTTTGATACTGTGTTTACATTGCTGATAAGCGCTTTATTTATTACAGAGTAATATTCATTAATTTTTATAGGTATAGATAGATATTGATATAGTGTAGGTATAGATATGGTAAATTAGGTATAGATATTGGTTACTACACTGCAAACGAGTATGAAAGGTTTGATGTTAACCGTATCGACAATGCAAAACGACATTCTCTGATTTGGCTTTAAAAAGCAGAGAAAAATTTTAAAAGCTGCTAGAAAGCAAAAAAATGTAAATTCTGAGAAACAAGAGGGCATTAGTTATAAATCAGTGGAATTTTAAGTTTACAAACTGATCAAAAGTAGGTAATCGAGTGTTTGAATTCTTTAAATGCATTTATCTCGTTTTTCATTTTCGTGTTTTAATGCTAATATAAAATACAATATCTCTAAAAATTATAATTGAAATCTTATGCAAATTGGTATACATGTTTAGAACACATCATGTAAAGAGATAGACTGTTTACTAATTGATAAATGCATTTTTTATAAAGTTATCATGTGTTAAACATGAATTTTAATGAGAAAATATGTTTTTTCTTTGTTATATTACACATTCTAGCTTAAAAATTTTTTAAATAACTTCCTAGCTTTAAAATAATAGTCTACCTCCTTGAGAATATCATTATGATGGGTTTACATTTTACAAAATATGAAAATATATTATACTTTTTTTAACAGAGTGTTTCTAGTTTATTGTAAATATTGCTTTTTTTTTTTTTTTTTTTTTTTTTTTTTGCTTATTTTCTAATTTTACTCCAAAAATACAAAATTAATGGTGATTAAATAACTCAGCTTCTTCATTTTTTCGTCATTAATTACTTTAAAGCCAAAATTAAATGTACAAACTTAAAAATTTAAAAAAAGTGTTCGAAGGTATACAGCCCCCCCCCAACTCCATAAAAGTCAGAGCTTTTTTGTTAACTGATTAGTTTTGATTCACGGGTATACGAAAAATACACGTAATGAAATGCATAAGTTGGTCTAGTGGATACATATTTTTTTAATTTAAATGGATCGGAAAAGTCGTACGAGAACCAGCTGCCTAACTGAAAAGATATTTCCACGAAACACCACCTAAGCGAAAGTAATTCGCAGTTACTTCACTCACGAGAAAAACCACGCAACCATATTCCCCAGGATTTAAACTATGGTCGCAATGTAAGCGCCACACGACCATTGCTAGAGTCGGTACAATGGACAACAAAGAAAGCTGGCATAATGAAATGCCTTCCAAAAATACAATTTCCTAAGTAAAGTGAAATAAATCAAAACCGTCTAATTCGTTCAAAGATGTCTGACTCTGTTTTTCCAGTCATTCATCATTGCCCCATGGAAATAACAATTTTTGTTTTGAATTTTTTTATGTTCTGTTAAATAACCGTCATACATAATGTCCTAAAATACAGGAAAATCATTACGCGTGACCTTGCAAAATACAGATGAGTCATATGACTGCAAAGTGAAGTGCCACGCGATGCACCTAAATTAAAAAGATAAATGTATCCTGACCAACCACCAGGTCATTCCTTTGCCAACCCGTTTAATGATACGGAGTTTCAAAAAGGAATACGAGAGAGCACTGACTTTTCACTAATCTAGGTAGTGTTAATGAAAGGGAATCAGATGTCATATATAAAAATACTTAGGATTATGGTAAAAACATTTCAGTTAGGACATTAAGAAATACTGTTTCAGAAAAATTCAATTTTCAGTTTAGTTGCTTAATCATTATGAAATACGTGATAAATTCAAAGGAAATTTAGTTTATAGCAAAGTTTTATTAAAAGAGATCAATGCGTTTCGTAATAAAAGAAAAGTGTTGAAATCTAGGATGAAGTAATTACAATTAGATAACGTCAACTCCTTTTTTTCTACCGCAAAATTGTTATGCTGATCTGCCACTGCGCTTTGAGCAAACAGAACTCCAAAATTGGCTTGTACAGCTGACAAAACGAAACGATGTCCTTTAAGAAGCTCATTTATGCACACACATTCGTTGAAATATATCTTCAAGTAAGTGAGCTTTTTAAAAATATAATGCCTATTTTAACTTGGAGTTGAATAAACATCATCATATTATATATATAATTACAATTCGGTTTATCTTAAAATGATGTGATTAGCAATTTACCCACCAAACTCTATTACAGGTTTTTATTACTATTTTTTAAGTTTTATTGTTTTTAATTCTATTTATTTATTAATATTATTATTAACATCCTTACGATCTAGACATTTAAAAAAATAAGATACCTTGCATACAATTCCTTTTAGGGAATTCTCATCCCTTGTAATTCACATACAAAAGCGCATTTCCCTTAATGAATATATTTACAAGATTCACAAGAAATACAACTCACAGGATGCTACTAAACAATTACCAAATGACTTTATTTTGAGCGTATTCAATTTTTTTTCCTGTTATCAAGACCGACTTTACTCAAGCAATAAGGAAATAAGTGGATTATTACGCAAAATATGCACGAGAATCAATGCAATATTTATATAATAAGTTTTCCCAACTAGAACTAATAGAAAATACAGAGTTTAAAAATACATTTTCTAGAGGAAAACTAACGCATACTAGTGACTCTCGTACTTCTGAAATTCATTACAGTTACAGCTAAATACACAGTAGGCTTAAGTTACTCATATTTCCAGCATAAAATGAAGCTGCACAGATTTTGAGCAAAGATATGATGACAGAAACGTAAGTTTAGGTTCCGCCCCTTTTCCCTAAATGCAGAGGATCTCCAAAATTGGCTTGTACAGCTGACAAGCCAATTTTGGAGACAGTGTGTGCAGATTCTGTGGGCAGACAGTGATCAAAATAAAAGAATGGAAAGGCCTATTTTAAATTAGAACTTCTAATACGTTATCTGAGCAATCGCAAGTTCTCAGTGGTCCTGCTGTTCAATGTTCCGTTAGACTTTTAATTTATTTTTCCAATTAGGTTGTTGTATTACTCAGTACTTAAAAAACCATACTTTTGATTAGCATCCTTTATTTTTAGCTTAGTGCAATATACGATATATTTAATTTCATGGGAATTATAATATATGTAGTTGCTATTTTTATGGAACACTTTCACTAACGTATTTCTGGGCAAAATAATTATTTGCATTCCCTCCGATAACAAGCTACTGATATTACATAGCAATGCCTATAGCTTCCAGATGAAGAGTACGATCTTGGGTCATTGGTTTTGGTCAAACTCTACATAACTTTACAGGTTATAAAAATAAATAAATCTACAAACGCCTAGCTGTTTGGAAACAAGCAAGCAAACATACTATCAAATTTGAAACTAACGCTTATATTATTAAGGCTTCTCCGTTTGCTGCATGCATCAGTGGTCTAGTTAGTGAAGTACAACATGCCAAATTATGAGTCTGCATTTTGAATACTTCCCAGCAATGCTTTTTTAATAGGTCTTTTAAATAGTAAGTGGTTAAGCTCGATGAATACTGACAGTTCAGTTCGACCTGGTTTGGACTCGATTCCAGCCGAACCGGTTGGCTGCATGGTTGGTTTTTTCAATGTGTGTGTGAATCTTACTCGTGAATACGAGAAAGTTTCTCTCAAAAAGTTATCCACGAAGGCATCCTTTCTCTCATCCCTTCAGGCTTTGCTGTATTCAAATAACCTAACTTAACCTAATCTTTAATATTATTTCATTCTGAAGGATGTAGAAGGGAGAAATTAAGAGAAACAGTTTTAAGGGCGTAACATGAAGAATGATGGAAAACAAATTCGGAAAAAATAGGAAGTTATTAATTGCGTTCTAACTTAAAAAAAATTATATTAACATAAAAACAACGTGTAATGCAAAAACATTCGTCAGTTC